ATGATGCACTTTTCCACTTTGCACCCAGCTCGTAGGGGGATCCAACAGTCATCTAGTAGTTGATGGCAAGTGGGACATCCAACGATCATCTAGCCATTGATGAGATGGAGGCTTGTAACAATAGCCATCAAGTGCATGTAACTTGTAGCTGCTAGGTGGTGCATGTGACCACCACAATACTAAATGTGAAGCCTCTTGGTGCTCTATAATAAGGGCCCTCCTACCCATACGATTTTGGGGTATTTAGACCAAATTTTAAGCCTCTCAACATCACACTATTCTCTGCAATTCCAGCAAGCAAACCAGTGGGCTAAATTCTCTTTCTCTACTCGATTTTTTCTCTTCCTCTCACTAATACATCAAGACCCTGATGTCTATTGTGTGAGTTCCAAGCTTAGAGTGCATAGAGTTTAGGAACATTGAAAAATACATTTATGTTTTTGTGTATCCCAATGACGAATTGTCTTTCTTATGCACATCAAATAATTTATCGAAGGGGGGCAAATATCATCTTGAGCTATCGCTCCTACGTGCTCGAAAACAAAAAGAGTTCAATATCTTAATTTTACAAATTGTATCATTTTCTGCCCCCATTTCACCCAAACAAACTCCAACGAACACTATATATAAAGCTAGAAAATATGCAAGTAAGAGCGCACTTAACCAACTTTAGCATAGTCTTGGAACAATACCTCCAAAGAAGATATTTGAGATCATTATGGCCATTTTACCAAATGAAAACCATTTGATCTTATTATTTTGTAAAAGGTGTTGTTGTGGCCTTTTTTACTAATGTTTAGAACTTTATTGATATTCTAAAAGGATATTACATTAGAAGAGATAATAAGAGAGTCTAGGACAACACCCATTTTAGCCAAAGCATCAGCAACCCATTAGAAAACATATAAGGTTCTGGTCTTAAGGTTGTGGCCAACACCCCCTTTGTTGTGGCCTTAAGGTTGAAAAAAGCTTATATAAGGTTAATAGCTTAAATTTTAGAGTTAAGGTGTACTTCAAAACATCAACGAAATATACTATTTTAACATTAGAAAACCATCAAATTGATCATCTTGACACCGGGATGTCTAGATCTACAAAAAAAAAAAAAAACTCAAGTCCCATTAATAACACATCTTGCAATATGTTATCTCAACCCTCTATTTTCAATATTTTGATGCGTTCATAAATATGCTTAAATTGCACCATTTGAGAGTTTAAAATTTAACAATTAAAGATGAAAACATATTCTTGGACCTCCCTGAAAAATTTCAATATCGAAATTACATATCATGACAAAGTATAAAAGTGCACTAAATAAATTGTTTAAGGCTGCAACGTCATGCAAACGTCCCTTCAAAGTTTGCTGGCTTTTATTGGGAAGTTTAATAAGGGCACTTTAGTCAAAATTTCAAATTATATTCGCATCTAAATTTTAGGACAGAAGAATATTGAGAAAAGACAGCATCGCCGGAAATTCGGGACTGATGCTGCATTGCCAGGAAGTTGACTGTTAGTTCATGGCAGAAGACGATATTACCCCGGCCTTTTGCCTTTGAGCGAAAAGGCAATTTCGCTCGTGCATTAAACAAAACCATGTGAAACATAAAAAGCACACGGTTTCTAAAATCTATTTTTGAAATGAATTTTTGGAATTAATTTTTTAAGAAATCTCTAACATAAAGATCATGAACATGAAAAAATATATAAATTTTAAAAATTAAAAAAATATTTGGACTATTAATTTCAATTGTTTTTAGATGGACCATTTATTTGTATCCATCTTTAAGATAAATGCTTTATACTTGTGGACCGCATATTGTAGACATGCATTTCAATCTGCATGAAACAAATTTTCAATATAAAAAAGAATACTTTATGCTTAATAATACTCTTTTGAATATTTTATATACGAATATGCCAAATTTTTCATGCGATAAGCAAAGGTTGTAGGGGTGATAACAGGTCGGGTCAGACCCAGACCGGACTCGATCAGACCCGACCTAAAAATAAAAATATATGTATATTTAAATATATTTAAATATATTCCACATATTGGGACCCAAAAAATATTACCGGACCCAGACTCAACTATACCTTGACCCAAACCTGAATAGTATTCGGGTCTAAGACTTGGACCTGGACTTGATCCACCCGGGTCTAATTTTTGGACCTAGATCAGGTCCACTCCTCGAGTCTCAGGTCGAGTCCGGGTCCATTGCCACCCCTAGTATTGGGCGAGAACCATAGTTATAAAACATAGCACCAAGCGCATATGTTCGGTCTGTCAACTATGCATTGGTTGATCTAGTCTAAAATAAAAATTAAGTTTGTTACAGAATTGGTCAAAAATTAATATTTGACCAGTAAAGCGATTCGTTTAATTTTAACCAACTAAATAAATATAACATTTAAAAATATGTATTTTATTTCTTAAAATATTGTTTTTGAATTTATCTTTTTAAAATCCAATTCAACCTAGTTGAATCGTTTTCCTTTACCAATCTATGGGCCGGTCGGAGCCGATGACATTGGCGGTTTCCATACTCAAAACCTTGGAGCGCTTTAATGTCACATCCCAGACATAAGATGCCAACGAAGTGGTGCGCTCATTGCATATGAGCATAAATGGAAATATAGCTGGGGAATGAGAATTGGGCATTCGTGGTTAAGAGCCTGGATGCCTTAACATAACATCTTAACCTCCCCTCCCACTGCCAACATATCAAAAAAAAGGGTTGAATTCCCTTATAATTCATACATAAATTTTTGTTAACATATCAAAACAAAAAAATTGAATTAAGCAATAATTCATGCATAAATTTTTTATAAATGTAGTATGTGAGAAGGGGATATTACATTTTTATACAAAAGGAACTATATGCTACACAGCAATACCATACCTCTTTTTTACACTTGTATAGAAAAGGAACTGTATGCTTCAAACCATATTTCTTAAGCGCAAGTATTGAGGTACTCTTACCCAATATCCACATACCATAGTTGAATGGGAGTTGTAATCGAGGTTCAAATCTAATTAAAAAACTGGGTAGCAATAAAAGCGTGCAATTACTCATCACCTATCCGTCTTTATATAAGGAGTTGTTTACAAAGGGACCATTTATCTTTTGTACAAGAAAGTCACAATCATTAATACTTATTAGATGTCAAATTTGATAGTTTAAGATGATTAATTAATAAATAATTTTTTAGAATTTTGTGTCTATTCAATGGCACTATTACAACAATCCATTTTAAAATTTAAAAGACGAATGATAGCAACTTTCATGTACAAAAAATAAATGGTCTCTTTGTAAACAATCTCTTTACATAAACATAGGCAATGGATGTGGTTTATAGGTATCATAGAACATTATCATATGGTATATATGACATTTTTCCTCAAGAATTTGATTGGCCATTCTATAGAAGGTGTTAACGAGACCTAAGATTTACTGTAAAAAAGAAAAAAGACTCTTCAAAACTTGTTGGGCAATGCAGTTTTGGTGACATAAACTGTTATAATGGACTTACAAATTTGCTTATACTCTCTTATAATGGCCTTAAAAATTTGCTTATACTCCACATTATAAAACTTTAATCTCCAAAAATGGTATAAATTTGACATATTTACATGCAAATAGATGAACTAAATAATGTGTTACTCTCAGTGCTTAAAATTTATTTATTTTTCATATTCATCATTACCAAAGCTATAATGATCGATTTGAAAGTTTATCGATTCTGAAACTAAATTATTCTTTCCGTTTATATGCGACTTACTTTTCATCAAGACGACCTAGGCCTATCATCATGCATGCAGCAATTAATAAGGGAAACATTTCAATATTTTTATATGCCACTATATATAGGATATTATAGATATGTCACCTATCTTCCGGCCATCAAGGACGATCATAATTTGACACTTAAATAATATTTCATTTTTAATTTTTTTTTTACCAGTCCTCTTGAAATAAAATTTGAGGCGATCCTTCAATAGGGCGGACCTAAATTTTTTTCCTAAAAGTTATTTCTAAGAAAATAAATTAACTATAAAAAGGACACAAAACCGTTGATTTTAAATACAGGGAGATCACGATCTCTTGTCAATTCGAATGCAAATCAAGTGGTTGTAAGTATAAAAAAAAAAAATTCTTGATATTTGTAACACCCCAAGCCATCCAAATTATCATCTAATGACTTGGAGCAATTGTGACCTTGTACTAAAGATAAATAGTCAACGATCCCATAACCATAATACCATGTTATAAAGATTAATAGTCTCATAATATACAACCATAATATCCCACCAAGTTTTAAAGGTATTTTAGTTATTTATTTTATAAAAAATATTTTATATATTTTTTAAGACGTACCCCTAAGGGCACACCTCATATTTTGTTTAAAGATGATTAGTATAAAGAACTTGTGAAATAAAATATTCCAAACCACCTGGTCAAATTAGACTCTAATGCACAATAATAGGAACTTTCCAATGGCAAATATATATGGGTGCAGAGCCTAAGCTCTAAACAATCAAATTGGAGCCTACCTCCAAATAGTATCGAGAAATGTGGTTTAATATCGAAAATCTTTGTAATAGCCTTTAAATATATTTTCTTATTTAATTATAAAGTTTAAAGCTTCAAAATTAGTATAAATCATATCTATGAAAACTTGAAAATTAACGGTCCAAAAATGTGTTACAAAATACATTATTTCTAAAACTTGCAATCCCCATGCATATTGATGTCAAGATGATCAATTTGAATATATTTTGACATCAAAACAACATCTTCTAGTGAAATTTTTGAAAGGGGCTCAATTTTGATTATTTAGAGCCTCGGCTCTATATAAACTTTTCCCAATATATATTCCTCCTTCATTGGAAATTTGGAACACTCTCTCCCTCTCTGCTTTTCCAAGCTTTCACCACAATAACCTCCACAGCACCCCGCCTTGTACTTAAAATGTCCAGCATGAATTACCTTAATCTTAGAAAAACAAAATTCTAACTCATTGAATGCATTGCCTTCTCATAACCCCCTGCACATGATTCAAAACAATAAAAAACCCAGGATCCTCCCCTATAGTCAAAATCTCCAACATGAATTACCTTAATCTTAGAGAAACAAAATTCTAACCCATTGAATGCATTGCCTTCTCATAACCACATGCACGTGATTCAAAACAAAAACAAACCCTCCCCCGCCTCAAAAAAAAAACAAAAAAAACACTAGGTTTCGTTCAACTACTAACCCAAAACAAAATGGTTACTCATTCAAATAGCCATGATCAGAACGGAAGTTGAAATGAATTATTACATTCACTTTTTCTTCTCTCCAACTCCAGCAGACCTGTATCAAAGGGAAAATCAAATTCCCAATTAGACATTCTATATAATTATACACGCCAACCTAATCTTTCTTCTCATTAATAAACAACTCTGCCAGAATTTCAATAGAAAAATAAGCCAGATAGATTTTAATGTAGTTGCCACAATCCAATGACCACAGCTGTATGCATCTTTATTAGGTGACATCTTATGAAAGCATTTTTTTAAACTAATATCCATGAAAAAAACAATTTTTTAAACAAACAATAAAAATAAGGCAAATTTGCAACACAAGACCACATGCATAAACACTTTCTCCAAAAAACATCACTAGCCTACTATCCCGACTAAAACTACAACCAACCCATGCTCAAGGGACAGCTCTGTAATGTGATCTCAGTTGTTTTTCTCTCACACAGCTCCTATGGTTTGAAATTTCTCAACAATGATATCTCGATTAGAGAAAGTTTGGGCATGGCAACCCTGGTTTTGATCAAATTGATGGCAAAGATTCAGCCATGGCTACTCTGGTTTTTAAGGTGGTTTTACAGATAATATTTTGAAGGGAGCAGTGAGGCTTTACGGGGGCCCGGTTCATTTTTTATTTTTCAGGATTTTATGCCTATTGAACTCGAAGTAAATTAGTACAAATTTGCTATGGAGTTGAATTAAGTTTATTTCCATTGAATTAATTGCTTGGGTGATGCTTAATATTTGACTGGTTTCTTCAAATAGAGCTGGTAATGAAGGACAAGGGTGACAAAATTTGGTTTGAAAAGGTGGAGAGAGATTGTAACTAACACGAACATGCTTAATTATGGACTCACTTTTTATGATAAGTATAATTTGTTTTAGGTTAATCTCTTCCTTGCTGAAAAATCAATTAGTGAAGAAAAATGACTTCAAGAAATGGATTGAGGATCAACAACATGGATTGTTTTAATTACAGAGATGTGGGAGAGCTGCTGGTCTAGCGAGCGCAATGTTCAAAAACACGGAGGCGGCCGCCTAGGCGGTTTGGGTTCTGGACCGCCTAGGCGAGTGCCCAGACACAGGTGGCTTGCCTTTTGGGGAAGTGCAGATCTTTGTGGATTTTTGGACCCCCCATTTCATTGTATATAGAAATGACTTTTTTATCTAATAAATTTTTTATATAATATATTGTTCAGAACTCATAAATACAGATCCAACATAAACATTTATGACTTTAAGACTGTAAATTCAATAGTTAAAACTCAAAAGTCAAACTTGAATCCATTTACAAGAAGTGAAAATTGTAAATACATACACAGAAGCAAGATTAGTCATTAAAAAAAAATAAAAAAATGGTCATCAAAAAATTACAAATAGGAAATAAAGTAAAAATACTTGCTACATTGACCTTTTAATATATGGGATTATATACAATGAGACCATTTACCTTTGAGGTATACAATGAGACCATTTACCTTTGATACAAGGTGGTTACAATTACCTACAATCATCCGATGTGAAATTTGATAGCTTGGATGTGTCACAAAGTTCGAAAAAATTTCTTTTGAAGTTTGAGTTTAATCAATGGAATAATTGTAGCCACCCAATTTCACATCCAATGGTCAAGATTAATGTGACCACCTTGTACTAAAGGTAAATGGTCTCATTCTATGCTTTCCCTTAATATATTGAATTCTTATTAAGCCAAAAAATAAAATCGAAAAAACATATTAAACATATAATTATTTAATAAGAAATTGTTAAACTAACTTAAAAAAATTGTGGGGATTAAAGTAATGGTTTATGAATCATCAAACTCATGTTTAAAACTAAGAAAACAGTTAAAAACGATATTCATTCAATTTGGGGACAATGGACTTTTTTATTGAATTGCTTTCGCAAAGACCCAAACTACATATCAAAAAGGAAAAAGAATAATGCAAATAGTCATTAACATATCAAATATATATCATAAAGTATCACAAAAAAAATACAAATAGCAAAGAATAACTCATAAGACATTGTGAAAAAACAAATATATAACCTAGTACAAACTATTGAAATACACCAACCTTTTTGAAGTGGAATCGAGCCAAACCCAAATGTTTTGATTCCCAAATCTCCTCTTTTATGACCACTAAAATCCTCAAAAAGATTGGGGATGAATATCCTTTAATTTCGTGACCATTCGACGAGGTTGGAAAAAATTTGATCTCTCTACAAATCTTCAAAATCCTGTTTTTTTCATGTTTTTTCTCACTCTAAACTTCACCAACAATGTTTTTGGGAGCAAGAATAGCCCCTAAAACCCTTTCCCCCCCTTTTTAGGGGGTAAAATGACAATTCTAGACATTGCCCGAGTTTGTTTTTCCGCCATTGGGCAATAGGCACCCACCGTTTATGCCGCCAAGGTGGGGGGGAGAATATAACTTATATACAATATGGGAAGTATAGAAAGCATTTGGAGTTGGGGAAGTAAAGGGAATTTATTGGGTTACGTCAAGGTAAGGAGGAAAAAAAATCCCTTGGACCTGGCATGGAGGGGATCGGATGTAGATCTAACCGGGGGTGGTAAGGCCTCATGTAGGAAGTTTTCAGTTGAGAGACACCTTCCCTTGGCAGAGGGCCTATGGTGTACTATAAACTTACCTAAACAGGAACCACCCAAAAGCCACATTATCACAATTTTATTTTGAAAGTTACATATCACAGCTATGTAGGAAAATCAAGTAGATCCTCAATTATTTGATAATTGTTTCCCTTTGTAATTTCATCCACACAAAAAATTTGTCATTAAGTCAAATATGTTTCTTTCATATGGACAAGAAAGCAAGAACTCTCTTCCACCTATGTAGCCATTACCATTCATCCCACTTATAGGCAATCAACACCCTAAGCATATACATATACATCATTACAAATTCTTAACAAAAAAAATGAACATTAATTGTATTGCACAACAATGGGACTAGCTTTGATATACACATGTGAGCTAATTGGATCACTTTCATCATTTTAATTAAGGTGATTTCATGATTGCATTTGGAATTTATTCATGTTACAAACCTTTTAATTTAGGAAAAGTTCTCTATGCACATATCAAAATGTGCGTCCCCCGAGGCACAGGACATCCATCTTAAAGATGTATGTTAGCTGGTGGTCCCACTTAAAAAAATAAAAATCAATGGGCTATAGATTTTCTTCAAAAAATATCATTTATAGTTTTTTTATCATTTATTTATTTTACATATTCACGATCTCCATGTCAAAGATCATATATACCTTCAAAATTAGGTCCAAAATCCATCTGAAAAAATAAATTTTGAAGAGTAGACTCATATGTAATGAGTCCTAGGGCTCATAGAAACCATGTCCTTTAATTTATAAACAAATTGCCTTCGAGGACAATAAACAATTGCATCACCTAGACAAAATTGAAATTTCGTTCAAAAGATATTTCTTAATCCAAAGACATGAAAACATGTTAGAAAAGGTCAACATTAAATGTCGATATTCATTTTTTTCCTCATAAAGAAAAATGAGGAGCCTGCTGGGGGCTAGAACATTATTTCAATGAAAATGAATGACTTATCACATGATTGAACTATTGCAATGTCTTTCACCTCCCATAATCCTTGAATAACGAGTCAAAAGGAGACTCTTGCCATATTAAACAGTAGGATGTGCATAAAAGCTAACTAATTTAGCCAAGCTAACAGTTTGTCATGTTATATAAAAGTAAAAAAATATGAAGAATATCGAATCTTGAAACTTAACTAAACTAGTGAACAATGATTTATGGAGCTAACATGTCAGGTCAAAAAGTTAGCAGAAGCCTAATTAAACAGTTTTGAATTACCAAACTAAGACTGATCAGATTCACCTGAGCATAAGAGCAATACAGCATATCTTGATTACATGTTTTAAAAAAAAAAATCAATAGATCTCTTTGACAACGTAATATTAATTGATTAGACATTTAATTCAGATGTAATATTAATAAATGCAAATAATGTACATATAAGAATGAACTTCTATCCAATTACCTCATCTTACGAAGAACACTAGACATCTCTTCACGCTTCTTCTTCGCCCTCTTGTGTGTGCCTAACTTTCTCTTTGCCACTTTTAATGCACGCTTATCTTTCCCAACTTTCAGCAACTCAGTAATCCTCTTCTCATATGGTGCAAAGCCCACAACTTCCCTGATCAGGCTCCTAACAAATAGTTCTCTTTTACTACTTTTCTGGTCAAACACAAAATTTAGGTCTGAGAACATGTGCTGTAATTCCACATTACTAAATAAATAAATAGTTTATATTAAGATATCACATAAATTTAAAGCAAATATCAAGAACAAATTTAGAAAAGAAAAATCGAGCAGAAGAAAGCTTTTAGGTGAAATAATATTTCTCTATATATACTTGAAGAATTACTGCACATTACAAGTGGAGTGGTACTCCCAATGCTTGGCTCTAGCCAATGTTGGTGAAACTCATTCCCCTTGGATACCCAAAAAACATCAAAACATAATTACAGGAAACCAAACACTACTTATTACAAAAAATAAAAGAGTTTCAGAAAGATGAACATGAAAATAAAGAAAATGCGACAACAATAGAAAACATGGCTTCAGAGATAAGGACTCACCCCTTTTCTGTCTGAGGGGCGAGGAGCAATCTCTTTTTTGGTGACAATGTGGCCTTTATTTAGTCCTACAAAAAGGCCAGTGTTTGGCAGTGATGGAGCCATCACTAGTATGCTTTAAGCCTGTGGTCACGCGGATTACTCTTAGCTTAAACCCATAATACAAGATGACGCATAATGAACTACATTACTTAGTGGACTTCAATTATCAATATCAAAAAAGTTACTGTGCTAAAACTCGGGGCTCAGGCTAGTCACTGAGACCCAACACCGGTTCCGAGTTCTGGGGCCTGCCATCTTATTATTTACATAGATTCAGCCAAGTCAGCCGATTCAGACACACTGACTCAGGCTTGGGATCCCAGCAAGTCCCAACCCAAGTCCTTGTATCCAACATTGATCAAGTTTCATTTAAGGAAAGAAAAATACCAATAAAAAACATGAGTATGGAATATAAAAATTCAGAGCAATTGATGCAAACAAGAACCCATGAGAAAATTAAAAGTCAATTTCTTTTAACTTTACTGATAAAAAAATTTCATTAACATAAATTCCCATTTGGTAAAAAAGGAAAAAGAATAACATGAGAACAAAACACCACACCAATAAACCTACGTAAAAAAGAGAAATTCAGGAAACAAAAGATCCGTGGAGGAACAGCTCAGACTACCGTTAAAACGAACTAAATCAGTCCATATAATATAAAATATATACATAAAAAACAGCTATAAAGTGATACATACAAATATTGGTATGTTCACTACTTCACTTTTTGAAAACAGTGAAAAATAACTCACATTTCTTTTCACTCATTTAAAGTAAACTAAGAAGACTAGAAAACAAGAATGCCACATTACATTACATGACTTCAATAAAAATATGAAGTTCTATTTAGAAAGCAGATGAATTGGGATCAATTATCTGCCTAAAAAATCATAGTGTCTCAAAAAGAAAAAAAAAACCCATTCACTATGATGAACATGTATAAAACATTTGCAATATTCTTAAAACAAACAGAAATAGACTTTTCATCTAACACAAAAATCTAGTTCCATAATATTTAAATGCAGACCTCACAAGAATAAACACTAATTTTGTACTCGAATCACAGACGAACATCTTACAAGACAACACATAAAATAAACAGAAGTAATCAGGGTGAAACAAAAACAGGGAAATAAACATAAAAACCCAATTAACATAGATTCATACAAACAAATTTGATGGAATAAAGCATTTCAAAGCACAAATAATGTTTAATGCATATTCTTCCATAAAATTTTATATAAGAAAAACTTACGGTTCTAAAACACTCGTTTCATAGTCAGTTTCAAGGAAAAAAAAATATAAAAAATTCAGAAGAAATAGGGTTAGGGTTTCAAGATGAAGCAAAGCTGTCTTACCTTGAGCAACTTCTCTGGGAATTGTCAAAATAGAAAAGGGTTTGAATTTATAAGTGTTACTGATGACAAAGGACGGTAACCACCCAATGTTTTATAAAAATACCCCATACATCCCAATCGTATCATACGACGAGCTGTGTTTTATTAGTGGCGATGTGCCGAAGGCCCATACTGTAGCAATATTACAAGGAAAATTTGAGTATCTTTTTTTTTTTGGTGAGTGGCGTGTGCCGATAGGGCCATGCTGTAGCTGTATTAAAAGAAAAAATTGAGGTTTTTTTTTTGCTTAGGGCTGAGTCAATAGGGAAAAGGGCTGCTACCCGTGGTGGGAATTGAGCTTAAGATATAATGGGCTGCTACCCATTGTGGGAATTGAGCTTAAGACATAATGGGATGCTACTGATGGTGGGAATTGAGCCTAAGACAATGCTGTAAATTGTAAGAGCTAACCAATTAAGTCCAAGTTATTTTTTTAAAAATAATAATAATAATAATAATAATAAATTAGCAATATGAAAAGAGGGAACTTGCAAGGAATTTTATAATAGAAATTTATCAAATTACTCATCAGAGATGAACTATTTAACATTTCATACATTTGCAACTATTTCACTTTTTATGTATATTTTATAAGTACCTTAAAATTAAATTCAAATATATATTAAAATGTTCATCTCTCATGAGTAAAGTGAAAATTTTATATTTTTATAAGTATCTATGTGGGCAGGCCCACGTCCATGTCCAACTAGTGAAGATTGCAAGGCCATATTGCAATCTACATCATCTAACTAATGGTGCAGGTTTTCAGGAGGGCATATGAGGGCCTACCCACATCAAACAATTCACCGTTTTATAATAGTAGAAAGTTAGGCGGACATGAGCATAATTTTTCCAAAAAAATATATTGTCACACCCCAAGAATTTACAATACTGGTATTCTTGAGATGTGACAGACAAAACATATATACATCAATTGATAGGACAAATTTACAGTGGCGAGGTCTACAAAGTAAATAAAGAAAGCTAGCACAACAACAGTATCTTCCAAGGTTGATCTTGACTAGCACTCAAAATGAATCCGCAGTTATCCTGAAAAAATGTTTACCATAGTTTGATGAGTTTGGCTACTCAGTAAGTGATCGTCATAATCCTAAAAATAATCATGATTGAAAGATATCAATATTTTCCAAAATGAGATCTATTAACAGAAATGCATCAACAGTTTCACTTTCAATAAATGCATAATTAAGTATAATCTGAGTAATTGAAATGCTTATAACACTTTTAACGGCAGTGCATAATTCAAAGGATTTCAGAAAATACCCTACTGGCGTCCCAAGTAGGTCACCTATATACCCCATCAGCGTCCTGATGGGTCCACTTAATCCCTATCCGCGTTCCAGATAGGTCCACTTAATCCTTGCAAGTCCACTTATACCTCACCGGCATAACGGATGAGTCCACTTAATCCCTGCCGGCGTCCCAGATAGGTCCACTTATACCTCACCGGCGAACCGGATGAGTCCACTTGCATACTTAAATTATTTCTAAATCTCTTTAAACATTCGAAAGCAGCAATATCATGTACTCAACATATCACTGAAATCATTAATATGAATTTCACTTAAACCATTAATAACAGTCACTCTCTATAACATTTCAAAAATAACCAATCAAATATTTTGGGCTCAAATTTAGAAAGGTAGCAGTTTGTAAAGGCATTCTAGCATAATTGCCAATTTAATATGTATAGAAAAACTCTTATAGAAATTCAAGAATACAGAATTATCACAAATTATGGGATATCAATCCACAAATAAACATTTCACAACAATACTATAATCAATTGCAAAAATGTCAATTTTTAAATAATAAGGCAGTCATTTGCACATGAATTTTCCAATGTCTAAATATTCAAAACAGTAGAAAGAAATATCACAATTTTACTAAAAGCAGAAATATCACATTTATTTCTAACAATAGACAAGAAAAACAAATAAATTTATTTTTCTAATTTACAGCATTCAAAATTTCTAACATAGATAAAATATCACAATTTTTATTAAAAAGATTATTTTTCAAGATAATGAGGTCACGTGCGCATAAAATTTATCGCGCCTAAAATTCATGATAATAAGCAAAAATAATTATTTCATTTTATTTTTAAAAAGAATGGATTATTTTTCGAGACAATGAGGTCACTTACACACAAAACTTATAAAATAAAGATCCTAGACGGAAATATCACTATTTATTAAAAACAGACTATTTTTCAGGAAGACGATGTCACTTACCCACAAATATTTGAGAGGGAGCTTCCGATAAAAAATTCGGTTCGAGAGAGGAGTTCACTGTGTTTCGACCAGAGAGAGAGAGAGATCTCAAAATTTTCTAGGGTAGGAGTGCTCACCTCCCTATTTAAATTCTTATAACGTATTATTATATTATTTTATTAGGCTCTACCTCATACCTGAGGTGTCGCGTTAAGAGTCTGTTTTTAACATATGAAAACCATGTCCACTAAAGGACGTGGCAAGCAGCAAGCAAAAGTTTAAACCAAGTAAAAACTTTTGAAAATAGTGATGGTCCCCAAGGACCATCATACTCAAACAGACCATCACCTATTTAAAAGTATATTTTCTCTTTTTTTTTTTGTTGAAATTTTAGGATTGTTACATTCTTCCCCCCTTAAAGAAATTTAGTCCTCTAAATTTGTGTACCTGATTACTGAAAAAGATAGAGGTATTTTTCTCTGATTTCATCTTCTCGTTCCCAAGTTGACTCTTCTCTTGAATGGTACTGCCATAATACACGGACCAAAGGAATCTCTTTGTTACGCAACACTTGCACCCTTCTATCCAGTATCAAAATTGGCTGCTTAATGAAGGATAGGTCCTTCCTGATCGGTAAAGGTTCATATTTTAAGATATGGGATGGGTCGGGCTGATATTTTCGTAGTGAAGATACATGAAAGACATTATGGACGTTTGCCAATTCGGGTGGTAAGGCAAGTCTATAAGCGACACCTCCGATTCTTTCCAGGATTTCAAATGGTCCGATGTAACGTGGGCTCAACTTTCATTTCTTGCCGAATCTCATAATGCCCTTTATTGGTGAGATTTTTAGGAAAACTCGATCACCTTCCTCAAATTCAAGATCTCTCCTTCGGTTATCGGCATAACTCTTTTGCCGACACTGAGCTGTCTTGAGTCTTTCACGAACTAATGCTATTTTATCTGTGGTTATCTGGACAATTTCTGGCCCCAAAAGCTTTCTTTCACCAACCTCGTCCCAACATATGGGTGACCTGCATTTCCTTCCATACAGGGCTTCATAGGTGCCATCTAAATACTGGCTTGGAAGCTATTATTATAAGCAAACTCAATCAGGGGTAAATGGTCATCCCAGCTTTCTGTAAGGTCAATAGCACAGGCCCTCAGCATATCTTCTAAGGTTTGGATGGTCCTCTCCGATTGTCCATCAGTTTGGGGGTGAAAGGCAGTACTAAAGGTGAGTC